GCAGCAGGATACACACAACAGCCTTGCTTACTTGGATGACAATGGCCTTCACCATGGATTTCCCAACTCCAAACTGATTGCCTACTGACCAACAGCAATCCAGCACTGCAAGCTTCGAGAGCATTATCACCACTCACTTTTCCACAGTCAATGCAGCTCTCATTCTTGCATCCCTATGCTGCAGCAAGTTTGGCATGCAGATCTAGGAATGTGGCTGTGACATTACATTACATATTCCTTATGAAAATATGCTTATAATATGAATATGACATAAATGAGATGTACTTTATGCAAGATGGCTCATGTAAGATATCATTGGAAAGGTCATGATTTACTGAATGTAATTATCCAATTTGTATGCCTGTATCTTTTCTGTATCTGAAGTTAGGAATAGTAGGTATGTATCTGTATTTCAAATGTGTTACTTTGGGTGTCACCCCAACCAGCCCTTCAGCTACAACAATGGAAAAGCCAGACAGGTCTAATGGGCCAATAGCGGAGACAATGCACTGTGAAAGAGCTTAGTCTTCCTGTGGACCCTGGAGACAGCTTATGAGCAATGGCTGCCACAGCCATGCAGAGAGGTGGGTCTGAGTCACCTGGTACTGCATACCCCTCTCCCCCTTTTGGAATGCCAGTGGTTTTCCACTATAAGACAAAGGGATCCTGCCTTACACAAGAGCTATATAAGGCAGGGGAGTGACATCAAAGTTCTCATCTGCCTGCCCACCCAAAGAGATACTGAAAAACAACTGGAAGCAAGAACTGGATGGGGGCGGGGGGGTGAGAAGGACTGAGCCCTAACTGGAAGGGCGTCTAGCTTGTGAGTAATAATACCTGAGGTCTCAAGAGGAAGACCAGTGCAGCTGGCTTTCAAGATTTTCTGTAATCTGCTTGAAACAATATCTAGGGTGAGAAATACTATTTGTAACCAATTTCTTTAGTGAAACCAGCTTAGTTTGCATGTTTGGTTTCATTTGCTTAGTTATCTGCTTTGTTCTGTTTGCTACCCATTTTACTACTTAAGATCTGTCTTTTGTAGTTAATAAAATGTGTTTATAATATAACCCAGTTTCTGTAATTTCTAAGTAGGGGGGCGAGAAGTTGTGCATACCTTCCTCCACATTGAGGGAGGAGACGAATTTCATAAAACCTTTGGGTTTGTACCCCTTAAAAGGAGTGAGCACCAGAGTGTTGGAACGAGTCCCTTAAGCAGAGTCTTCCCAGAGCTGATCTGTAGCTGGGGGTGGCCCTGTCTGTGTGCTTGGCTGGAAGAGGCTTGTGAGCCTAACCCAGCAAGACCAGTTAAAGGGGGCTCATGCTGGCAGAACAGGCAGGCTCAGTAGTATCTCAACACATCAGGTGGCTTCCTAAGGGGCATAACCTATCACAGTGGCCTTTTCACATCCAAAAGTTCTGCAGCCACAGCTTGTCATCCCAAACCTACATTACAATGCAATCCTTGTTTCTCAGCCCAAAAGCAGCAATTAACAATGGGGAGCTACCAACTGAATGCCAACAGCAGCCAGACATATTTATGTGCTACCCTCAGCAAGGTGTCATGGTGGTTGAGTAACTCCTCTTCCTCACATACCCAATTATAGTAGTACTCAATGAAGTTCTGCAAATACAAGAGAACTGCACATCTTACATTAGCAACAGTCATAAGAATTGCATGGAGCTCAGCAGGGTCCATACTTCTGCCTGAGAGATGGCAGAGGCTGTAAAGTGGCATATGGGATTGTCAGAGTTTTAAAAAATGGTGTGCAAATAATCGGATGAACAAGCATTATGGGATGGAGACTGAGATACTGTGGGAACCTGAACCAAAAATCCTTGGGCAAATTACTGCAAAATGTCCCACATGGCACTGCACCGGACAATGACACAGGGCACACCGGCACACCACATTTTCCATCAACACAACCACTAGTGGTGTGTATGCGCAACACCAACACAAGTAGCCAAGTATGCATGCACACAAGTGATACAGAAGTTGGTGGCTGTATGGTATCATAACTTATGTTGACCAAGCTCTGTAGTGTAGAGACAGCCTCTCATTTGGTTCTTCACTACTATAATAAAGTATTAAGTAACTCAGTTTAGACAATCAGAAAAGATTTTTTTTATTGTAACCATTACGAAAAGTTGAGTTTAAAACTAAATTAAGAAAATATCAAGTGAGGTCTCATTTATTTAGCTTATGAAAGGTCAACCAGTGACATACATCTGCAAAAAGTTAAGTTGGAATCTGAGTTAAATTAACACAAGCTAGAAAAGGGCTGTTTTATTGACCAAGTGTCTGAAACCAATTAATACTATAAGCGTACTAGAGTGAAAGTACAGCAATTCCATGTTAGATGTTGTCTTCTTCCACCCTCAACCCCAATGTACTTCATGTTGTTTTAAACGTTGACCACATTCTCAGAATGAGCAAATATATTTCATTTACAAACACTTAAGTCCCCTAATATAGGGCAGAACATTTTATCAGCAGAACATAAAGGATGTTTCATTAATCCACCACACTTGTGACCAGTTATCTTTCAAATGCACTGTAAAATTAAGGGCGAAAGCTTGAAAAATCTTAATTGCAAGAGGCAGGTGGAAGTTTTACCTCCTAATCAAACACGTACAAGCAATTTCTGAAGAATTTAAGCTCCTCATTTTAGTGGGAAACCTTTGAAAACCTTATGAACATTATGCTAATACAGGGCTGAAGCATGCTGAAAACAAGGACAGAGTAAAAGTTCATTTAATATCAAAATAGTATCAATATCACTATTCTTATATTTAATTTGATAAACTATACTTTTGAATTTACCTCCAGCTGCAGCAGAATTTCCTAACTGATGCACTAAAATATTGCAGAAATTAGGTCCAACTAGCCACAAGAGCACCCAGGCCCTAGATCATAAAGCCATCACTAAATTACTATGCAGGATATAAAAAATAACCATACTGGGTTAGACCAATGGTCCATATAGCCCAGTATCTTGTCTCTGACCGTGCCCAGTGCCAGATACTTCAGAAGGAATGAACAGAACAGGGTAATTTTGAGTGGTCCTTTCCTTGCTGTCCAGTTCTAGCTTCTGGCAGCCAGAGGTTCAGGGACAATAGGTCCATCAATGGCTATTAGCCAGAACAGGCAGAGATGGTGTCCCTAGCCTCTGTTTGCCAGAAGCTGGGAATGGGCGATGATTACCTGTTCTGTTCATTCCCTCTGGGGCACCTGGCTAGCCACTGTTAGGATACTGGGCTAGATGGATATTTGATCTGACGCAGTATGGCCGTTCTTATGTTCTTAAGGTAAAATTCAACAGCAACTATTTTTCTGCTGACCCTTTCAGCACAATCAGTGATGCTGGGATTGTGGGAACAAGCAGCACTATTAAGTCCTGACTGTCCTCGTGTTCACTAGAAAAAGATACGTTTTTAACACGTTACCTTATACCTTATTACTCCAAGTAGTCCCATTTGGAGTCAATGGAACTACTCAAAGGAGGAACTGCTGATCAATGACTAAGAGGGTTCATCAGTTTGTTACCCTGGTAGTTACAAAAAAATAGGATTTAATTTGTAGAATGAGTAGATGAGTATTATGATGGTTTTTCAATTGTAGATACAGGAACACTTTACAATGATAGGTAAGCATTACTGTCCCCGTTTTAAAGCTGGAGAAAAGGAGGCAGAGAGATTAAGTGACTAAGGCTATGTCTACACTGTGCACTTTACAATGGCTTGGCTGTGCAGCTGCACCATTTTAAGGTGCACTGTGTAACTGCTCTTTATTGCCGTGGAGCCATAGATTTGTCACCAGAAGCACTATCCACACTGGTGCTTTTCGTCATTAAAACCTTTGTCGTTAAAGGGAGTATTTTTTCATAACCCTGAGCAACAAAAAGTTAACATGACCAAAGTGCCAATGTAGACATGGCCTTAGGGCCTGTCTACACTTACAGCAGTGAGGTGGCACAGCTACACCGTACAGCACTGCCACTGTAGTGTTTAGTGAAGAAGCTACCTATGCCGACGGGAGAGCTTCTCCCATCACGTACCTACTCCACGTCCCCCAGAGGCAGTAATTATGTGGACAGGGGAAGCCCTCCTGATAACATAGCACTATCTACACTGAGGCTCAAATTGGTGTAAGTGCGTTGCTCAGGGGCATGGATTTTCCAAACCCCTGAGTGATGTAATTTTAGTGACATAAACCTGTAGGGTAGACCAGGATTGGGGCGGGGGGGGGGGTTAAGTGACAGAACACAGCCTAGCTTCGCTTCCTTCTAGTCAGATTCTACAGAGTAGTTACTGAATCCCCACGAGCCCCCGTTTGATTACAACCCCATCGCTGATACGTCTGGGTTTAATTCCCGGGTTAGGAAAATTTCAGAACAGAGATGAAGAGGAACGACCCAGCACACGCGCTACCGGGGTGAGGAGGGCACACAAAGTGCCATCGCACCTCCTTTTTTACCGATTCTTCAGACACACCCACAGACTTCCACGCAACGCACAGCGCTACGGAAACGCGCCGTGACTGGATGGAAGTTTGCAGCCGCACCGAGGAGCGCGGCGGCGACTCCCAGCGCTGTGCCGGCGGAGAGCCCCGCCGCGCCCCCACCCACACAGGGAGCGTCCCTGGCTGGCTCTCCACCGGGCCGCACCGACACCTCAGCCCGGGCCAGAGCCGTGGCCCAACAGGAGGCGCGCGCCCCGCCGCGAGCCAGGGGCAAGCCCCGCGCCGTGACAGCCCGGCGGCTCCCTCCCGCCGCGGGCGTCGGAGCCCTATTGATGCGGGGAGCTCGGCGGTAGCATCAGACCCCGGTGCCCTGCGGAGAGAGCTCCGTGGTGGCGGGGGAGGCGATCGGCTCCCGCTCATCCCTGCGGGGATGCGCCCCGGCCCCCTGTGCGGGAAGAGACGGGCACTGACCCGCAGCCGCCCAACCGGAGCCGGGGGGGGAATAGTATCTGCAGTCCCTGCCCGGCCGGGCTCTTACCACGAACACGGAGCCCCGCACCGCCTCGGAGACACTCTGCCGCAGCTCTGCCGCCGTGCCCGGCTTGCTGAGCGCCCGGGTGAACTTCCGAGTCTCCGGGGGGACCAGCGCCTGCGACATGACCGCTGCTGCCGCCGCCGCCTCGCCGCGCTCCCGGCCCCTCACTCCGCGGCCCCCCGCGCCCCCATGGCCCGGCCGTAGGCGGCGAGGCAGTGTCGCAGCTGGCGCCGGCCCTCTCAGGTGGCCCCTCCCTCGCTCAGCCCATGCTCCCAGCGCGCGCCGCGCTCCCACCCCAAACACTGAGTCACACGAGGGGGGAGGGCGCAGGGCGCAGCCTCGGTCGCTGATTGGCGCAGCCGCGATGGCGAACGGGGTGGGGCCACCCATCATGCCCCGCCCACACCTGGTCCCCGGTTCCACATCGGATTGGTCGCGGCGCTACCTGCCCGGCTGCTCCCCTTCCGCTCCCCGCCCTTCGGTCTCCCGGGGAGCCCAGGCCAACATTGGGGCGGGGCCGGCGCGAGCCGGAAATTCCCGCTCGGCGCTGAGCTCATCGCCACGGCCTCCCCTCGCACAGGGCGGGTCCGCAGTGACCTGTGCGAGGTGGCGCGGGGTGAACGGGGATCGGTGGCAGGGAGGGCGGAGAGTAGGTTTCACAAGCCTCCTTCTCGGCCCCTGCCCTCCCGTCGGTGCAGAGCCTGTCCCTGCTCCTAGCTGTGCCTTGCGTCACGGGCCCTCGCCTAGGCGCACAGCAGCTTTGACCACCCAATTTCCCTGTCCTCACTCACTTATTATATGAACCCCACGGTTACACACCGGGTGGTCCTGCTCACTTTTATGGTTAAGAATTATTTACATCAGACTATAAGGAGCCATGAAGATGTAGTGATAGAAAGAATTATCTACACCAAAAAAATTAATTGCACCTCTATAATTTTCCTACAGGTAGGGAGCTGAACATCCCCCATTTTGGGTCTTTGTCACATTGGGGAGCCTGCATCTGGCAGGTTGAAAAGTATGCCCGAGCCTGGACTGGACTTGCCCTTTGCTGCAGTTGATAGCATCAGCTATTTTATGTCCACCACTGCAAAGTGAGATGCTCCCCACATCCTAGCTGTAGTTGGGCTCAGACCGCTCAGAGTCCAGGGCCAGACTTTCCCACCTTTCCAGTCTGTGTGCTCAGATTAGGGGTCTTGTTGTAATGAGGTATTAATCATGCTACTAGCATGGCTGGAGAGGAGACAAGTAAACAGCCACAAATTTACACTAGATGCCAACTGCAGCACCGTGTTAACTACAGCCAACCGCAGTGCCTTGCTTCCTTAATGTTATTTTGTGAATTAAAATAGATCATTTTGATATTTAAATATGTGCTTTTAATTTTGATCAATGTAAATATTTAACGTAGGAAGACATTTTAAAAAGTTATTCAAAACAGGACAACAGCAATTAAGTTTCATAGCAGATTTGAAAAATCAGTCTCTTTCGTTCATTATCAAGCATCAATATTTATACACATACATTCTTATTAAACGTCATTATTTTTTCCAATGTTTTTACTTTGCCTCTCTGTAAAGCTTGAGTCATACTGATAGAAAGTTTAGCTAAGTAAAGTTACATATATGTATGTTTGCAGGACTGAGACTTTAGTGCCTAACCCTACAAACTGGTATAGGTAAAGTCATTTTTTCAGGTGAGTTGTCCCATTGAATTTCCACTGAGGGACTATTCTCACATGACTAGTCCTACTGAACTCAATGGAATTAGTCATGTGAATAAAGTTACTTCTGTGAGTAAGTGCTTGAAGGATCAGAGACTCTTACTAAAGCATCTTTCACACAAACTGTAAAAACATTTGACAGAGTTAGATCATTTACACTTCACACATGAAAAGAACAATTCAGTGGTGTAGCCAAGGGAGACAAAAATATTAATCTGAGATTTGAAAACAAGTCTGTAAATTCTTCAGGTCACAGAGCATATGATTGTACAGCACATAATGCATGTGATCCCTGTTCTTCATTGGGGCCTTTGGGCACCACAAACATACCACTACTCATAATATTCAGTGTCACTGAGGCAGAAATATGCAGGATGGCAGCAAAGGTTAAGGGATAAAGACAGTACAAATACACAAACATAATTCAGCCTCAGGTACTATCAAAGTAAAGGATCTTGGCCCAGATCCATAAAGAGACTTGGGGATTGGATACCTAGAAAGTTACCAGAACAGCAATGGGATCCCTAAGCCCTTTAGCACCCATCAACCCTTAACCAGGAGCTGGGGATATTCAGGAAGACCAGGACTTTAAAAAGCTCCCTCCTAAACGACCAGAGGAGCTAACGAACAGGAGCAGCTAAAGCTAACGGGAGTTTTGCAAGGGAGTTCTCCAAGTGAAGGAGGAGTGATTACGTGACTCTTGGGGTAAGTTTGTTGTCTGTAGTGTGTTTGTGGTGTGCTTACTGCCTGACTGAAATATACTGTGTGCTCTGTTTGTTTGGGGACGGTGCACTGAGCCTAGCAGGCAAGGCTGAAAGCTTCTTAATGAGACTTTCATCCCTAAGCCCTTTAACTATTAACCCTTAACCAAGGGGCAGGCTACTGAGGGTGGGCTAGATGCACTTAATGTTCTTTAAACTTAAGGCCAAAAACACTCCAATAAAAACAAACATCAACAAAGGAACGCGCTACAGGAGTAAAAAGAGAATACAGGCAGAAGTCCAGCAACGGAGTGGGGACTATCCAGTTTATTGCACTCAATGCAGCATCTATGATTACCTGTCCCATGGGCAGGTTGTGCATGTGTGCATTTGGTGCAAGGGGCGTGTCCAAAATGCTGCCTCCTCACAGAATTAAACATCTAAGTTTGGAAGGCAGGGAAGCACCTATCTCTTCTTGCAATCCACAGCTAGGAACCCCTCTGCTGGAGTCAGACAGTTTAGGAATCTAACCTGCTTTGTGCAGGAAACACCAGAGAAGGAAGTGATGCAGGTTCCACCCTTATAGCTTTCAGTCCATAGGTAAGAACTTTTATGTGAGAGTCCCAGATTTGATTCCCACTCTCTGCTTGCTGGGGAGACACTAGACAGGATTTGAAGAGGTGTCTCCCACCTGTTAGGTGACTGTCCTCACGAATGCTCAACACCCCCCGCTGCATCCCTGGCCGTGCCCCACCCCAATTCCACCCCCTTTCGCCAAGTCCCTGCACCTGCCCTGCCTCTTTACCTCCTCCTCCCCCGAGCATGCCACGTCCCCACTCCTCCCCCTCCCTCCTGGAAAGTCCTAAGCACCGCCAAACAGCTGTTAAGCGGCAGGTGGGAAGCACTGGGAGGAGCGAGGCGGGGGCAGAGGGAGCTTGGCTGCTAGTGGGTGCGGAGCACCTGCTAATTTTTCCACGTGGGTGCTCAAGCCCCACAGCACCCACAAAGTCGGCCCCTATGGGCTATAGGGATGCATGTATGTGTGTGTTGAGGAGCCCTCCACCTCTCCTGTGGAAGCTGTTCCACTTTTGGATTCAAAAATTAAATAGTAATTGGGTCAGAGTGAGTGAGAATGATTTTATAGTCTTGTGGTCAGGGCATCCATGGGAAGCAGGAGACTTAGGGTCCAGCCCCCCTGCTCCAATGACTCTTTATTTAGCAAAAGTGGAACAGCTTTAAATGGAGAGACTGATAGAACACCACATCAGAATATCCCATAGCTCAGTGGTTTAGGGCATCCTCCTGAAAGGTAGGATTTGACTAGGGTGTGTCCCTTCTCATCAGGCAGAGGGGTACATTGAACTTGGATCTCCCACACCCCAGCTGGGCTAAAAGTTATGAGGTTGACAGCCCCATTTCCTCTTTTGGATACATTTTTGAATGGTGTCTGAACCAGTTAGGCGTATTCAGAGCATGCCTAATAGATCAGGTCCCACATGTGGGATACACGCTCTTCTGCCTATCTTCCCTGGTTTATAAATTGGGCTGGGCTCAGGTGGAAGATAAGCATCTGAATACCCAAAGTGAGGCAGCAGTATGCAAGCCCAGAGGCTGAAAGTGAGGCACAAAGGGAGCTTTTACCTTGAAAAAGTAGGCACTGAGTGAGTTTAGGCACCTACAGGATTAGGCAGCAGATGAACAGGGATTTTGTAAAAAGAACAGGAGTACTTGTGGCACCTAAAACAGGGTTTAAGAACCTACAAGTATCTTGGTGGATCTAGTCCTTTCTAATGCCTGTGTACAAATGCTTGAAGCTTGGGCAATAAACAAAAGAAATTAGAAGTGCTAATTTATTAAAAGAAATTGACCAATGTAAGTATTAGTGAAATATGGTGGGAGGATTCACATAATTGGAATGTTAAAATCACTGGCTACATTACCCTGTTTAGGAAGGATAGAATGGGAAGAAAGGGAGTGGCGTTCTAAATCAAAAATACCATTCCTTACTTTAGAGTACTTGACAGTTCAGCCCTGTTCCAACTAACAAATCACAACATGGAGTACCAGTGAGAGTCTGTCATAGACCTCCCAACTCAGACTAGAGAATAGGATGAACAGCTTTTTAAACATATATCTATAGTGACTAGAAACTAAAACTGGGTTATCATGGGAACAAATGCAGGAGATTTCATGCTGTCACTAGAAAAACTTGCTTGGAAATTTTTAAAATTAGAGATTTTCTAACACAAGCAATATTACACTTTACCCAGGGAAATTCTATAGTAGACCTCATTCTGATAGATCAAGATGAATTGATTACTGAATTAAAAGTTAATGGTTGTCTAGGTGCAAGTGATAACAACCTAATTATATTTGTTATATGTAAACAGAATAAGGTCCCAACAAGCAATATGTATACTTGGTACTTTCTTTAATAGGGTCAGTTTCCCAAAGCTGAAAACAGGTATAAACAAAATAGATTTTTATTTAAAATTTTCCTCCCAATGTGAACAATAATTAGGAGTTTAAGAAAAGCTTACTAGGTGACCCCACTTCCCCAAATCACAATTCCACAATCACAAAAGATACCTTTGTCAGTTAAAAATCAGTCCTGGTTAAGAAGGGAAGTGAAAGCAAATATGTAAAGCAAATGGGAAAAGGAGGAAGTTAATAGCAATCATTATAAATTTAGTTGTTATGAAATACAGACAATTGTATTAC